TTCAGAAACACTAAAGGCCATTCTCTCTAACTTGAAATTACTGGGCAGTTTTTTGTAATTTTATATTTTTCTATTTGCTCAAATGATAACTCTGTGCAGTGCCAAATGTATAGCAGTAGCAGCTTCAACTGCTCACTTTCCTGCTTTGGAAAATAGTGCTATATTTGGAGATGACAATCAATATTGGCTTGAGGGAACCTTGGACAGATGATAATACAGCATATTTGCCACAGTAAGTTCCCTAGCAGCCAACAGCTTTGGTGTGGTGACCTAGGATTAATGACACATTCTGGAGAGGTTTAAAATTAAGGTATTTTATTATATACCAGAACAGAATGATGCCTCTAAAATAAAGATTTAATGAGTTATGAATGCCCAGGTCATTAAAAAATAGCTATTATTTTTTTTCTGACTGATGTTATTTGGCATTAAAAGGCAACCACAATACTTATGCTCAGAGGCCCTCTGAATAGTGACTATTGACTATGATTTAGTAGATGGGATAAATCTAATGTTTCTATTTTTAAAATCAGATTTATGCATTGATGCAAAATATATTTTATGATGTTTGAAGAGTTTGCTAGAATTTAGAAAATTGGATAAAAGAGATGCCCTGCCCTGTAGCAGCTCCACTGCCCCTCTACCCAGCCGTGTGGCACCCACACTGCCACATGGAAGGACCCACCCACTGTGGCCTAATGCTCAGCCACAGACTTAATGGCTGCATGTTGCCATTGCACCTAGCCCAAGGTGGAGCCAAAGGACACAGACCTGATACCTACTACCACTGCCTAGATAACCTCACTCAGCTGCCACTGCTACTGCAGTGAGGAAACCCAAGCAGACCAATCTCCTACAATGCCAGCCTTTGTGGAGAGGCACTGGCCAAGTCCCATGCCTAAGCATCTAAAAGTGGCCTGGGGAACAACACACCACTCCACACAAAGATCCTCCAGCATTGGTTTGGACTGTGACCATCACAGGGGAACAGGAAGTGGACAACACATAAGATCTGCTTTACAGGCTCCATTTAAAAGACATAGACTGGCTGAATGGATGAATAAACACAACCTAAATATATGCTATCTTTATGAAAATCATCTAACTCGTAAGAACTCACATAAACTCAAGGTAAAAAGATGGAAAAAAATAGTCCATGCAAATAGAAACCAAAAGACAGCAGGTGTAGCCATTGTCATAGCAGATAAAATAGACTTTAAAGCAACAAAGCAAAAAAAAAAAAAAAAAAAAAAAAAAAAATAATTTATGGAAAACTACTTTTGAATTAGTGTTTTCTTACATGGCACCCCTTTTTAATAAGGGTCACTTCTGTGTAACTTAGGAAAATTTGATTCCCAGTAGGATCAAGGTCTGTTGTAGGCTGGTCAATTGCGAAGAGCTATTGGTTTTAGGGGCTTCTCTCACTATAACACACTAAAAGCTCACTGAGAATCTGATGCCAAATTAATTGAACACATCAACCCCACCTATATTGTAATTTCTATGTGCATAATGGGATTCATAATTCACTTCAGTGGTTCTTCAATGTATAGATTGCTGCTTCCAATCTTTTAAAACAAACTGCTGAGAACTTTAGCAGTTTTGGAGCATTCTAACTTTCAGTCTTATAAGCTCAAAACAAACAAATAAAAGCTACAGACTCTCAGTTTCAGAGTAATAAATTCAACAGGCATTTATTTTGCTATCCATGGGGGCAGTATGTGCGGTACTTTGTGTTCTGGCTATGTGTCCTATAAAACTAATGTTCAAATTTCATAAGAAAGAACAGATGTAAAACATTCTAACTTAATAGAAATTTGCTTTGCTGCAGATACATGGTGAGCTATTAAATAAGAGATATTAATCCTTTATATTTTAATTATTTATAATTTGCATTTTCTATATTTCAAATTTAATAGTTTGAATCTTTAACAAATCTTCAAAAGTGGATGGATATTTATAAGTATGGTAACATTTTTTATGTATTAATGCTAAATTATTGTAGGTAATTAATTTTATTAATTTTAATTTATTTTTAATATTAGAAACTTAGAAGCTCATTTTAACAGATGTGTAATAAATATTGCTGTCCTTCATGTTATACTAGTTTATTTTACAGCTATACAACTAAAATCGAAGATGAAAGGCAAACATACTTGTTAATAAAAAACATATTAGAAAATGCCTATAACAATATTTTTAAAACCATTTGAATTGATACTTTTAAGATTGGTATGTCACCAATTGCATTTTAAATTTCAGCATTTAATTTTACATTTAAATGTTAGCAATTTAAAAATGGTCTTGAATTCACTTTGTTTTAAGAATCAAATAATTTCTATTTTTTCACATATTTATTTGTGGTGGAAACAATTAAAATCTATTTTCTTAGCAATTTCAAGTATATATTACATTGTTATTAGCTATAGTCACCATGTTATACAACTGATCTCCTGAACTTATTCCTCTTGTGTAATTGAAATTTTGTATCTTTGACCAACATCTCACCTTAATCCACCATTCCCTCCTCAGCTCTGCCCTAGCCCTTTCTACCATTCTACCCTTTGCTTCTATGAGTTTAATTTTTTTTAGCTCCCACATATAGGCTAGATCATATGGTATTTGTCTTTCTGTGCCTGGCTTATTTCATTTAACATAATGTCATATGACAAGATTTTAGGAGCTGAAAAACTATGTGACAATTTTTTAAAGTTAAAATAAAGAAATGTACACATAAAGGTACTACTGTGACAAAAGGATATAAGTAGATCATGGTTTTAATTTGTCATTTGCGTAATAATGAATGACAATAAATTTATTACATAGGTGTACAAGTGTGAAAAGTGATTTAGAGAAAATGATTTCCTTTTAAATTTACCTTTTTAACTGTGGTCTTTGAAGCATTTTATTCAGATAAATTTAGACTGACATGAACACAATGCCTAAAATAATTATTAAATTACCTAACTTTAGAACAGTTAATCCATTTTAATAACTGGCTATTTTAATAACTTAATTGTTTATATATAACTGACTCTACCACTGAGAATTGCTGAATAAATGGATATACTCACAGTCTGTGTTTCATTTACCTAAAAACATGCATGCTTGCAATGGTTATATCTGCCAGATGGTCAAAGAAATTGAAGCAAGGGTCATCTTGTTATTCTTCCTGCCCCTTGCCTTTCTGAAAATGACTTCATAACCATGTGAGATCACAAATGCACATTCATAACCCCAACCCTGACCCGCCTTCTCAGTTATACCAGTGGTAATCCAGAGCAGTGTCTGCTTTGGGGAGATATTAATAAAAAGACAGGGCAGAGTTTTATCAACATACTCAAAACCTCTTTGGTGCTCCCAAATCTACCTTGTTCCTCAAGATGGTATCAGATACTCAGCTGTTCTTCCTCAGAGAAAGAGTATACATAGTGAACATGCTTTTGGGTTGCTTGCAAAATGGTGACGAATCTTATTTTACTCCACTGTCTACACAAAGGCTAAAGCAAAGCTACTCTTCATATGTGATGAATTCCAGAAACAACTACTTTATTAAAACTTGAAAAAATAACTTCCCCTTTATTTATCTTTATATTACTAGTTTGTTTCATAGCATGGCTTATAATAAGACTTTTGACAAGACCCAAAAGGGTGTGTGTTTCATTTTGAGAACAAAGGTAGGAGGAGTTTGGGTGATGTTCTATTCCTTGGAAGGAGGGAGATAAGAAAAAAACCATAATCCTGGTAAGCAGCAAACAGTGAATAATAATAATAAAAAAAAGAATATTATAATAAAGGCAGAATCTGAAGAGGATGTTCCAGTACCTCATTGTGCATAATACAGGTACATCCGTACCTCACTCCCAATCTCACTCATCTTGGCTACATCAGCCCCACTGGTACAAACCATATGCCAAGCAATGGAAATACCAATTCATTCAGTAGGAAGATGGAAATGGGTGATTTTAGAGGAAAGGAAGGTTTTCTTGACTCATTTTCAGGGCATTCCAAGTTTTAAACCCTACATGCAACTTTTTCTAGAAGCATTATTCTTCACAATGATGAGCTAGTGAGCTACTCTAGTATTAGATTTAATTATGTGTGTGTTTTCATGTGTGTGTGTGTGTGTGTGAATGTTTTCATTGAGTTTAGCCTATGTATTGAACCAAAATGGACTTCCAAATGAAATTTTGCAGCAAAATTTTTTCAGTGCATAGTATTATGCCATAAGTTAGATATTACATATTTTTGCAGTGCAGAATAATGTATATATTTTAAATGACAATATCAGTCATACAGATGATTCAAACAGAAAAAAAACCTCTTCTCCTTCTCCTAATTATATTTTGCCTAGAAAAAATATTGCTTTGAATTCCACCTCCCTCCAAAAATATTCCCTTCACCAAAATCATGTAATAATGATATCATACATGGTATTGGGAAAAGAATTTCAAAACTGTGACAAGTCAAACATAAATAATTTAACCACAAAGAGGTGAATGTTGTCTATAGAGATTACCACTCATTTTAGTTTCTGGTATACAATTGCCTCAGTCCCAGTGGGAACTTGCTATGTAATATAAGAAACCAGATTCAGTCTTGTTAACAGTCCAATTCCTATAATGAAGTTCAGTACTCCATGGGAAGACTGGAATGGGTCATTAAATCTCACCTCAGTAAATAGTAATCAATAGGAATCAAAGAAGAATATGCCACAAAGAGAAAAAGTATATTAAAACTTAAGGCCAAATTGAAGATTGAATTATGTTGGAAAACACAAGGGAAAAAGCAACATAGAAAACAACTCTGGCTTAAACTACCCTATGTGATTTTAACTATAAATTAACCTTGTTTATCAGCTTTCATCTCTATCCATGTTTAGTTTTAAATTACTGATCATGAAGTATTATTTGAAATATTGCAGAACTAGTGATACAGAAATGTTTTATTACCACACAATCTGTTTCTAAGGAAAATATACACATATTCAATATACTTACTGGAGATGTTGATACTTGAGTTATTCTTAACTTGTTTTCCAAATCATGTACTTTACTTTTCAGTTCCATATTTTCTGTTTCTAAGTCTTGAATCTAAAAAGCAAATAATTATTGAATACCTTTCAGATACTTTTCCTTGAAAATTATTTACTATGATATTGACTACATTAATTAATAGGATTTTATGTTCTGTAAAATTGTAATGTCCTCTCCTGTGCACAGGGTATAAAATTATTTGATGAAGCTTGGGAATTATTGAAGGATTCTAGGTCACTGGAAAAACATTAAATTTAAACTACATTTTTATGTGTGTACAAATCCTATATTCCTAACACCTCATTTTTGTGTTTTCTTGTTGCACTGTGCAATCTATACCCATAATCTTGGAGTACAACCGCAAGACAGTGAAACTTGCTCATGATGATTCTGAAGAGTGGAGAAAGGGTGTAATTTAATTACAAAGGAATCTGATCTGCATGGGAAACCACTTACCCAGCATCTGCTGCTTCTGCTGCTCTGATCCCCATGAGAAGCATCAGGAAGTGAAGCAAAGTCACATGAGAACACTAAGTTCTTGTGGGAATTCAATATAAAATAGTTAAAACTGTGCAGGGGATCAGGAATGAAAAATTACAGGACCACAGTGAAAGCCGTTCCAATCAGTGTAGGGGAAATTTAATGGCAGGCCTTCTAAATTTGTTTGATGATATGCAAGTTTCCCTGTACTTACATCACACAAATGTGAAACAACAAGCTTAGTTTACTCACTCTTTTCTGTAACCCTGCAATCTGTTTTCTTGTTTCAACATCTTTTCCTCCAGATTCTAGAAATTTCCTGTATGCCAGGTCAAATGCTTGGCCAATTGTTAAAGTTATCTCTTCAGCCTTTATAAAAATCAAACAAAGAAGATCGGCATTTTAATAATAATATGTCGAACCTGTTCTTTGAATTAGAAAAAACATTCATATGAGGTATTCTAAGACAGTCACAGTAAATACTTCAGAAGGGAAATGGCGGAAGTGGCCGGTAGAGATGTCGTAAACGAACAAAGTATTTTATGCTAACATAATAATTCAATGCCTGAGTACAATATTGAAAACAAGAGGGAGAGATTAATAAATAGCTGTTGAAGTTAGAAAGTTGCAAGGAAGAGTTCTTTCTTTCCAACTTGTCATCTTTTTTATTGTAGCATTTTTTCCTAGTTGTTTTCCTTTCTTCCTCCAATATTTAGTGCCTATTAAATGACAGCACAATGCCAAATGCTGTTTCTCTTGTTGCTTTGCCACTTATTTTCTTTCCCAGTGAAAGGGTTTGTTAAACCCTGGGCAGGTACCTTGAATGAGGCAGACTGGGTGGTGTCTGTGGAAAACTTGAGATGTGCCCTGTAAATGAAACAACTGCTACTCACTTCCAGTTAATTGTTGCCCAGTGGAAATGAACAATTCCAGTCCAGAATTTTCAGATCTTAAAAATGTGAGATGAGGTAAGAAATATGAAATTTTATATGACAGCTCTCAATTTTAAGTGATGGTAAACAGTTTGTATGTTTGCAAAGCAAATATGCCAATGAACAAAATATATCTGTCCTCTGAATTTGGCCTCTAAACGATTTACAATCTCAGATCTATTAGAAACTGCCACAAATTTCCTAAGTTGACCATCTCATCTTTTCTCCATTCATTACTCCACTGATTGCATGATGTCTTCTACAAAGTAAACACTAAATAAATATTTATTTTCTTAGTATCATAAAGGAATTTGGTAAAGTCATTGATTAATTTAATGCATTACAAATATCGTATTTAGTAAGACACCCCAGATAACAAAAAACTAATAATAATATTAAATATTGAAAGTGTAATTCTTTAACTAATCTACTTCAAATCCTAATAGTTTATGATGTACTAAGATCAACCTAAAATGAAAATATACTTTATTAACAAAATATAGATTATTTGATATTATCTTTTGTAGTTCATTATTTGTTTAAAGAAGGCTTTAGTCACAAAAAATATTTATAGTGTTAATAAAAAATGCAAAATATGTACATAAAATTATGTAAGAAGCCTATCTGTTCTTGAAAACATAGGGAAAATATAATAAACAACAAGCCACAATTAAAGCTACTAAATAAATGATTCAAACTAATGAAAAAAATATGTATAGAAAGAAATTTGGTTGTATTAGGTGTTAGAATTATGTGTAATATTAAAAAGTAGTAAAATTGGATTTGATTGGTTATAAGATTATGAAGGATTTTTTTTCTGTTTCTAATTTCAAAACTTTAGGTAAGATGTTTATATTTATTTTATAATAAAAAGACACTTTTTGATGGAGACTCAGACTTTTAGGGGGAGGGGGGGAAATGGGCATTTATTGAAACCTTAAAATCTGTACCCCCATAATATGCCAAAATAAAAAAAAAATTTAAAAAAAAAAGACACTTTTAATTATAGTTAATTTTTAACCTTTTAAATTATGGGTTCGATGTTCCTTTTAAAGAGACATTATGTTATCTTCAAATACTCAATTTATATACCATAGAGAATCATTTAAATGGTAACATTGTTGATTCATCATTGAGGGTATTGGACTTCATCTAATTATTTATTTATATTAATGTCTTTTAAGAAACTATATTCTTTTTATAACAATAAATCTTTATAGAGCATTTAGGTATCTGTGTACATTTCCTCACTTGATTCTTAATGACTCTGAGGTGAGCACTATTTTTATGTCCATAATCATATGATGAAACTACAATTCTACAAGATTATACAATTTGCCTAAAGGCTCACTGTGGAGGCCTAGAGTTCAAATTAAGAATTTATGATTCTCCAGCCCTCATATATTTGGGGGGGGGTAAGAGGATAAAATTTATATACAGTGAAATGCATCAATCTTAATTATAAGATCAGATGTATTTTGATAAATTTATATTCCAGTATAACCACCATCTCCTTAAGTATCAAAAATATTTTACACCCCCTCAGAAAGTCTTCTATGCCTACTTTCAGTCAAATAACACCTATAATGGGCAACCATTGCTCTAGTTTCTATCAGCATAGGTCAGATGTGCTTGTCCTTGACATCTATGGAAAAAATATATAGTATTTATTAATTTGTGTCTGGATTCTTGTACTAACCTAATGTTTTTGAGTTTCACACATGTTGTATGCATTAATACTCTAATTGATTTATCTTTTTTCCTATATAATGGGCATCCATGGTGTTTTCAGTTATTTAGTTATTGTGAGTAAAACTACTACAAACATTCATGTAAAATATTTTGGTAGACATGTGTTTTCATAAATACCTTGAATGCAATTGCTAATCATAGGATAGGTCTACATTTAACATTATATGAAATTGCCAAACTGTTTTCCAAAGTAATTATGCCATTTTATATTGTCACCAGCTATAAGAGTTCTGGTTGTGGCACATTCTCACCAACATCAGATACTGATAGTCTTTTTAGTTGTAGTCCTTTCAGTGGATGAATGATGTTATATCAACACATTTCTAATTTGCATTTCCCTGTTGAATAATGATATTATCCTGGTTTTATGTGCTCATTGGCCTTTTTAATATTTTCTGTATGAAGTAGCTCCTTGATCAAGTCTATTGCACATTTTGTATTCTTTTTTTATTTTTTTATTATTGATTTTAAGGAGTTCTTTATATTAATATATTCTAGATACAATTCCTTTTTCAGATATATGTACTGAAAATGTAGTCTCATAGTATGTGGCTTGCCATTTCATCTGATTAATAATGTTTATAGATTAACAGAAAATTTTTTATTTTTGATAAAGTCCATTGCATCCTATTTTTGATCATGTTTAACAAGTGCTTTTGTGGTTATTTCTAGGATATCATTGTCCATTCAATGTTCATAAAGATATTCTGTTTTTTAACGAAGGTTGTGTATAAGACTATAGAAGCTTCTATTTTATGCCTATGATCCATCTCAAATTACTTTTATGTAGCATAAGTAGGGGTTAAGTCTTTGTATTTTTTAATATATATAGTTCATTGTTCCAAAATCACTTGTCAAAAAGACTTCTTTCTCCATTGAATTTTCTTGTCATATTTCTGGAAAATAAATTGAACATGTATGTGTGGGTATTTCTGAAATCAGGTAATATGTGTCTCCCAATTTGGTATTCTCTTTCAAGATTAATTTTTTCTGGCCATTTGTATTACTATACTAGAAATAACTTTTCAATTTCTACTAAAAATCCCATTGTGATTTTGATCAGAATTGTATTGAATCAATCTATGGATCAATTTGATAGAATTGCCAACTTAATTAAATGGAGCCTTCTTATTCATGAATATGGTATCTTTCTCCCATTATTTTAGGTCTTCTTAACATTCAGCAATATTTTGAAAATTTTAGTATAGATGCCTTGCACATTTTTTAATCCTAATTATTTTGTGTTTGCTGATGCTATATGAAATAGATATTTATTCCTTTTTTTTGCTAGTAGACAGAAACACAATTCATTTTGTAAATTGACCTTGTATCATGTGTTCTTGCCTAATTTATATCATAATTATGGTAGTTTTTTGTAGATTTTTCAGATTTTTATATTAAAAATTTGCTATTGTATCTGTGAAAAAGACAATGTTACTTCTCTCTTTCCAGTCTTTATGCCTTCTAAGACATCTAATATTGTGATAAATAGGTAGTGAGTATGAACATCTCTGCCTTGTTCCAGTTTTAGGAGGAAAGCTTTCAATAATTCAACATTAGTTAATATGTTACCTATAAGGCTTTAAAAGTATTTATCAAAATAAGATATATCATTTTTATTCCTATATGCTGTTAATTTTATCATCGGTTGGGTTAAATTTTGTCTAGTGGGGTATTTTTTTTCTATCTACTAAGATGATTTTGTTGTTATTTTGTTAAAATGTTGGAATACATTGATAAATTTTTTTTTTTTTTTTGAGACGGAGTCTCTCTTTGTTGCCCAGGCTAGAGTGAGTGCCATGGCATTAGCCTAGCTCACAGCAACCTCAAACTCCTGGGCTCAAGCAATCCTGCCTCAGCCTCCCGAGTAGCTGGGACTACAGGCATGCGCCACCATGCCCGGCTAATTTTTTTATATATATATCAGTTGGCCAATTAATTTCTTTCTATTTATAGTAGAGACGGGGTCTCGCTCTTGCTCAGGCTGGTTTTGAACTCCTGACCTTGAGCAATCCGCCCGCCTCGGCCTCCCAAGAGCTAGGATTACAGGCGTGAGCCACAGCGCCCGGCCCTGAAAATATATTTTAATTGGTGTATTTACACCATTTACATTTAATGTGACTTGATACATTAAAGCTTTAGTCTGCTATTTAATTTTTTCTTTTCTGTTATTTTTTCTTTTTCTGTTTTCTTTTCAATGCATTTTTATGGGCTTTTAAAATATTTTGTGATAAAATTTTGATATATTTCTAGTGCTTCTAAATATATTTCACTGCATTACTTTTTAGTGGTTGCTCCAAGATTCACATTTTATGTATATAACTTATAGTTGCCTAGTGCTATCATTTTTTCAGTCAACTAAGGCATAAAAACTTTGCCTCCCTTTACATTTTTCCAACTTTTCCTGGTTATGATATAATTGCCTTACAAATTCATATACATATTTAAAATCACATTAAAAAGTATTTTTTTCTTCTACCATCAAATGTAATTTAGAAAACTAAAGATTTACTCATATGTTTGCCAATTCTGTTTTTTTTTTCTTCCTCATGCTCCATGTTCCCTTCTTTTATTGTTTCCTTTCTGTTTAGAGAACTTCCTTTAGCCATTCATTTAGTGAAGGTCTAGTAAGGAAGAATAAGCCATTCATTTAGGGTAAGTCTAGTAGTCACGAATAATCTAATAAATTTTCCTTCATCTGATAAATATTTTATTTCTCTCTAAATCCTGAAGAATATTTTTTCCAGATATAAGATCATGTGGGACCTTTTCTTTCTCAGTACTCAAAAAGTATTACACTACTTTCTTGCCTTCATGGTTTTTGCTGAAAAATACATTATCATTCTTATTGACTTTCTGCTATATGTAAAGTTCTATTTATCACTTGCTGCCTGTAAAATTTTTCTTTGTGTTTAGTTTTCAGAAGTTTGGCTATGATATGTTTTGGTGTGGCATTACTTGAAATAATCCTGTTTGGAGTTCATTCAGTATTTTAAATCTATATGTTTATGTTATTTTCCAAATTGGGAAAGTTTTCAACTAGTATTTCTTTGTGTGTTTTTCAAGGCTGCCTCTTTCTCTCTTTCCAGACTCTGATGACATACAAATGTTAGATATTTTGTTATAGCCCCATAGTCCTTGAGGTTCTGTTTCATTTTTGTTTGTTGTTTGCATATTGGTATGTGTGTCTCTGTGTTGTTTAGACTGAGCATTTTCTCTTTTGTCAATCTTCTAGATCTTTGATTGTTTCTTCTGTCCTTTACATTCTGCTGTTGAGCCCATACATTGAGTGTTTTATGTGGTTATTTATTTTTCAGTTCTAGTATTTCCAATTGAGTTTTCTTTATATCTTCTTTTTCTTTGCTTAGATTTTCTATTTCTTTAATAATATGTTCTATTTTTTCATTTAAGTGTGTTTGTAACTGCTCATTTTATTATGTTATATAATATTGTTTTAAAATCTTTGTCCTAAAATTCTAATATCTCTGATATCTACATGTTAAGATTGTCATTTTATCATTTAGTTTGAGATCTTCCCGTTTCTTGGGATGAAGAGTGATTTTCAGTTGATTCCTTGATATTTTGGATATCATGCTATAAAATTCTGGAAATTATTAATATTTAACTTTATGTTTTAGGTGTTTTCTTCATATACAATTCCAGCAGGAGAATGAGGGTAGAAAAGCACTGTCTCATTACTACCTGGTGAGGCTAAAGGTTCAGCTTTCTAACTTGGTTGCGTTGAGTGTTCTGATTCCCCACATGGTATTCACTGTCACCATGGAGGGAGAAACTCATTAATGCAACATAATACTGTTGATAAAGTAGTAAATTCCAGTCTTGTAACATACTAGGATAGGTTTCATCTTTCAAAATAGCTAAAAGAGTAGAAGTAAAATGTTCCTAACACAAAGAAATGATAAGTGCTTGAGGTTATGGATACTCCAATTACCCTGATTTGATTATTATACATTGAATGTATCACATGTACCCTATAAATACATACAACTATTATGTATGCATAATAATTAAAAATTTTAAAAAACTCTCAATAATTCCATGGAAGTACTGAAAAGATAAAAGACAATGAACAGATAGGGTAAGGGCCCCAAACAAGGGCAGAAGGACTCTAGAACAGTTCACAGTTATGGGAGTATGATGGTACAAATGCAGCAATGGGAATCTAAAGTCCTAGATTTTAGTACTGATTCTACTTACTACTTAGTTTTGTAACTTTGGTAAACTCAATGTGTCTGGTCTTGATTTCTTAAAATAAGAGAAAAGAGTTGTGCCAATTAGGCTATAATTTTATTTTCCATTTTAATACTTTATGAAAAGCTATTTAAAATGAGAACTAAAGAAGACTGCATATAAAAAATTCTATATACATGTAAATTAATTTTATAAATATAGTCATTATTATAAGTATAACCAATAAACCCTCATAGTGAAGATAATACTGGTATAATGAAATTTTAACAAAACATGTCCTTTCTAAACTCATGAAGGTGATGCCAACATATATTTAGAGAGATATCTGGGATTCTTTTCAAAGTCAAGCTTTCCTCTACCTGCAGCAGAATCACATGCTACATTTGCTGAATGTGAACTTACTGAGCTCCAGCCCCAATTGATAAAAACTTGTTTATGAACTGAGATTCAAAGAACTATATTTTAAAAGGCACCATTTTGAGATTTGTGCACATTAATGATTGTTAATCACTACTGTAGGCATCAAGAAATCATTTTCACCCTTCAAGAAAAAATAAAAATATCATATATCGAAATGGAACAATGATCAAGGGAACTGAAATTCAGGTAATAAATTACAGACAATAATGATCAGGAAAAAATATTTGAACCTGAATATAACTACACTGGGGTTCCAGCATACTTATATTTTAAATGATCAAGTAACAAATTTGGATGGGGATCAAAGAAGACAAAACAAGTGGCAGAAATCTATAAGAACGGCAATATTTATAACAAATTCTGATTCTGAAGCCTTCAAAAGACTCAAAGGAAATTTATTTCTATGTATAAGGTAAGAAAGAAGAACAACTGAGTTAACTGCTTTATGCAAGTGGCAAAAGATTATTATATCATATACATAGAAGATATTCAACAAATATCAACTTTCATCTTCTTAATCACATAGAGAAAACATTTGCAAACAATCATGGTTAAGAAGCACTTGAAATTTGTAAATATAATCCATTCATTCAATAATATAAATTTTAAAAACAATTTGAACTTGTTATAAAAGGTCTTATTATACACACAGTATTGTCTTACATGGGTAAGCATATTTTTCTGATAAGATGTTCCATAATGTTTACCAAATTCTCAAAAGATATTATGATACCAAGTAGCTTAGTGCCTTAGCTTGCCTTCTTAGAGCATTTTAGTTTAAAAGATACAGATAATAACCTTGATCCACTTTTGATAAATTTTCAACATGGTTTTTCCCTTAAGGAAAAGTGATTGAACAACTATTATCTGCCTGATGTAAGAGCCACATAGACAAATTAAAAAGTATTTGTTCTCAAGAAGCTCACATACTGAAACCAGAGAAATAAATGACATAATAGTGATAATAACATTAGTTCTCTGCTATTTTTGACAGCAAGAAAAACTAGCAAATAGATTAATTTAGTTCTATTTCCTGTCTAAACCAATGAAGTTTTTGAGGTTAGATCTTTTTCCTTCTTTGAAGCCATCAATGGCTGCAATCTGAGCTTTGAATTCACATTTTATGTTTTATAACAAGAAATCAGACTAGGTTATGATTAGAATTAGCTTATGCTCATAATCAAGGCACAGGGTTTTCTGTAAGATTCCGGATGATTAAAAGAACTGTTTGCAGAACTTGCTAGTTGTATTTACTTGCTAAGAACTTTACATTACATTAAAAACTCTCTCTCTCTCTCTCTCTCTCACACACACACACACACGGATACACACAATCTTATTTTTCATTATATTAAGTTTACTAAATAACAAATGTCAAGAACCAAATTTTCAAAGTATTGGAAAATCTTTAAAGGAGCCATACAGAGTTTATTTCCTGGAGTTTAGAATATTTGTTTTCATCAAATCCATCACATTCCAGGGTGAAAAAAAACCCAAAAAACCACTTTTGCTCATCATTACTCTTTGCAATATGTTTATATTACTAAACCATGCCTAAGATTAAAATTATAAAATAAATTAAATGATTATAAGAGAAATAAATGCATAACATAAGGAGGCATGACATCCTAACAAAAGAAATTTGCATGCAATTTTGTGCTCATGAACATGAGAATTTATTTAAGGATGAAATCCTGAAGCATATTCTCATGACAGGATGAATCTGTTAGTGCACTTAAGTATTTGCAGACCTTATTCATTTTCAAATACTTTACTAATGCCAGAAACAAGACAATTCCTGGCTTGTAAAACACAAGAAAACCACCCTAAAACATCTGGCATACTTACACACTTTTCGCTGTCAAATACATAGCATAAATGTTTATTTGACTCAGAATCTTTGCATATGAAAGTGAATATCCTCTTGTCAGTTTTATCATCTGCACAAAATGATATTCTATGAAGCTGGCAATTGTGTTGAACTTCCTGTGAACACAGAAGGAAATAAACATCGCTGATGGGATTTCTTTCCCTATTTTGAAATACTACCTGTGTTAATAACATATAACTATGACTTTAAAAGTAGAACAATTTTCTGTCAAGCTTTGGTTTTATAATGACGTACATCCCAAACTTAAAGGCATAATGGAGATGGACCTCCTGACTCAAGATTGAACTAAGATATTCATTTCAAAAGTACTTAGAAAGACACAAGCCTAATATAAGAGGATCAGGAGTTCATGGACTATGAGCTACAAAGGATCTTAAGAAACCATATACTTTAAACCCTGCAAGTTTACACAGAAGGACATAGAAGCCCAGAGAGATTAAGATATCTCCACAAGGTTATAGAATTAGCAGAATCCTTTTAAACCAGAACACTTTTCATTTAATCACACTGTTACTAAGTACCATCACAATTTAGAATACAGCTCTATCCACACACAATTTCATGTGAAACACACTGCCATTTCAACCTTAGTTTTCTTACTAAATCTTATTTTTACATAACTTCATTGTTATTCATGCATTCTTGAACCTCTTCTTTCTAGGAAGATCATCCTTGAAACTTCTGTATTATTTTTCATGGAACAGGCAATGAGAAAGATCTACACATTCAGAAAATCACTGAATCAAATCTGCTAATCAGATAGATACAGATGCAGCATATATATATATATATATATATACACACACACACACACACATACACACATACATATTGAACTATAAAACTCATGCAAAATAGCAGATATGTATTTATTAAAATTAAAATAAAATAAAAACATTCACATAAAATAAATATGTTTTTAGAATTACTATTATTTAGTCCAAAAATGGAGCATTTGACACTCCATTTATATTCATATAGATCATCCAAATTATTCATTCATTCTTCATAGTTTTCTGAAACTATGTTGGAGGTGGAAAAGAAATCCAATGTTTTTAATTATGACTGATGTAAGCAAGTAGAAAAATCAATCATTCCCTTTTCTACTGCAGTTATAAATATCATTTTCTAAGATGTATTATAACACTAGGAATATCAATCAGAAACTCAGGGCACCAACATTATTCAGATTGGAGTTTCATTCAAGGAAGACTGGCTTAATGTCTCCCCAGAAAGCCTTATATTAGGTCATACTGAATAGCATTTGTCCTGCTATAAAAATTTTCCCTCTTTTTATCCCAGCTGAGTTAGAATTTCAGACATTTTGAAAGTATCACTGATGTAGTTAAGACCCTTATCCCTCCAAGCTCAGAGTTTGTGTCAGCTTGCTGAGATTTGATCTATCACTCTGATTCACATTACTGCTCATCAGTCAAAAAATGAGTGCATAAAATACGATATACAAGTAAATGCTAAGAGAATTTGCCCATAGCAATGCATTCTTTCCCTGCATACAAACCAAATGGTAAACCATCAAAAAGTTGTACGGAAAGCATGAAAATTAAAATGAGGAAGGATACTGTATGATTTTAATGCTTATTAGCATTAGTCGATAGCTTGATCCATCCATTTCAACAGCAGAGAGGAACAATGGTGAAAAGAGGTGCTCAATTTACTTAGGCTTTTGAAGGCATCTTCCCTTTCTTGTACTGAGAGCTTAAATGGACAATGACCATATTTGTCTAAGACTATCCTTTTCCCATATTTTGCCTGAATGGTCAGTCTTCTTTGTTTTTGACATTTTTTTTGTGTTAATGTGAATACAGTCAATCAAACAACAGCTCCCAGCCACACTGTAGCTCCCAAATACTGAGAGGAGGTCTATACCAGTTTATTAATCATATAATCGAGTTGATGATACATAAAGAGAAAATATCATTGCTATATGATACATAAAATTGATTATTTTTTCCATAGAAATTACCAAGAGAAAATATCATTGCTATATGATACATAAAAATGATTATATTTTCCATAAGAAATTACAAGTAACATAGAAAACACACACTTACTTATCTGGTGCTGAAATCTACACAGTCATTCATTTACTCACCAACCAGTAGGATCATGAAAAGCCTTGGTTATGAACAGCTGGGAATAACCCTACTCTTTGTTTAAATTAGTAAAAGTAATTTATCTTCAGGTAAATGCTAATTTATCTTCAGGTAAATGAAGTCTAGGGAGCTGAAACATGTAATTTCATTATTTTTGTAAATTTTTTTTATTGTTGGGATAGATCTTTGTAAATTTCAAATGTAGCAATATCTTTGGTAAGAAATGATAACGAGATTCAGGAACACAATAAACCACAATGAGAAAACACATATCCTTTAACATTAGTGATATTTTATTAGAGTTGGAACAAAAACTCAGCATATATGTTTTTACACCCAATTCATCTATTTATGGCCCCTGTTTCTAGTACTGCATAATCTTCAGAAAGGGAGAAGACACAGAGAGAAAAGGAGCCAACTGTTATTGAGATTGCTTTCTCTTCTATTTTCATTCTCCAAGTGGTAAAGAAAAGTAAAAATTATTTTCTCTATATAGACAATCCATGTTAGATTATTATCAATTCTAAATATTTCAAGGTGTGCTGTGACAAGTCCCAAACATTCAATAAGAATTTGAATTAATAATTATAAACACACACACGCACACACACACACACTCAAAACAGCTGCAGAATCTATATAGTTTAGAAGAAAACTTTAAACATAAACATGGCCTACAAGTCACTTATTCTTGCTGGACATATGCCACTATATATATCTATTTATTTTTAAGAAGGAAATTCAATAATAGCATTATTTTTCTTGTTGAGTGCATGTAAGACTGCACTTAGGTTGCTACACTTTTGATTGCATTGTCCCTCTGTAATTTATTGCTTCCTTAGTCTATTGTTCGTTCTTTTGGTAACTACCATTTGCCTAATGAATTTATCTCAGCTATGCCTCACTTGCAACTTTATTGCTTCGCAGCAAACTACAAACATTCCTTTATAGGCTTGAATCATCCTCCTACTATCCTTTCACCATTTCCTTATTCTGTTTTCAGCCAGCAATGGTTCTTATGGGATAGTCTTAACCCAAGTAAAATCTTTATTTCTTTGTCTGTAATTTAATATATTGAGGGTGGATAATAGGAGAATATTAGACAGAATAATTGTGGGAGGTCTTAACTTCATGTCTTGAAAAGATTGAAAGAATGCTATTATTCTTTAATATAGACAATTGTCCTCAGATTAAAAATGCAAAATTTCCACATTCAGAGATTCTGATTCTGTAGGCTAATTTGGGGCCTTTGAACTTATTTTTGCAAATGCCTTAGGTAATTTTTATGCAACTATTTCATGGCCTACAGTTTGGAAGTAAGGCCTACTGGTATAGCCACCAAAATATGCACTACAACCAAATCCTCCCAAACGTTAATGTGCATATGAATTACTAAATTTCTTCTTAAATTTTGGATACAAATTCCCTGGATCTGGAATGGAGCCTGCAATTCGAGGTTTCTAACAAGCGCTCAGTAGATATGGATCCTGTTGGTCCACAGACCACACTTCCAATAGCAAGATGTTACTGGAAACTGATATTCACATAGACAAAGGTACAAATGGCACCTACTGGACTAGAGAAAAGGTGCAGACCCTTGAAAAACATTTTCATAATTTGTTTACAGAACAGGGTTCCTTTGGCTTTCAAATTGAATTAATTTTTCAAGTAGCATGCCTTCATTGTTAGAAGAAAGTTTTGACAGCATGTATTTATAAAATACTTTGAGTTAAATGGTGATTAATTTTTCCAAACTGATTATCATGGTCTTATCAAAATTACTAAACTACATTTCTGAGGCATGGTGAATAAAGTACTTTATTAGTTTACTAGGCTGCCATAACAGCACAGACTTGGTGGCTTTGCTTAACCAACAGAAATTTATTTTCTCACACACCAGAGGTTAGAAGTCCCAAATCAGGTATCAGTAGGTTTGGTGTCTCTTGGGCCTCTCTTCTTTGCTTGTAGAACACTGGGTCCTCACATGGACTCCCCTCTGTGTGTGTGTGATCACGGTGTCTCTTCCTCTTTTTATAAGGACACCAGTCATATTGCATTAGAGCCCCCTATTTAAAGTCTCATTTAACTTCAGTTACCTCTTTAGGGGATCTGTCTCCAGATGCAGTCACATTGGGGGTTAGAGCTTCAAAATAGAAATTTTGATGGGAAACAATTTAGTCCATAACATTAAGTACTTAATAATGAACTTGAATCTAGAACAGGTTATATTTTAAATATTTTTATTGAATTTGGAAGAGATATAAGCCCTTTATTAATACAAGAAACTTAAGTTTACAATGTGTAAGGAGATAAATTGTATTCCCCTAAAATTCTTAAGTTGAGGCCTTTATCCCCAGTACCTCAGAATGGGGCGATAGTTGGAGTGTCAAATTAAATAAGCAGGAAGCCATTAGCCTGAGATTTTCTACTTTGAGTTCCTACATGACAAGCTGGAACCTAACATAATATGCTAACAAAGTGAAACCTAATTTCAGTAGGAGTATAACAAACAGCCAAGTTTCAGCCAATCACAGGCTACCAACTCATCCCACTGTTCATAAATAAAAAAGGTGTCTAGCTGTAGCCAATCGGGTGATTTCTCTACTTTGCTTCTGTGTCCAGCCTATGAAAAGCTCCACACTCACAGGCGGAATTCTCTGAACCCAATTCATGAATGCCAGGTTCATGAATTTTTCTCTGTTCAAATGAACTGCTAAATTTAATTAGTCTAAAGCTTTTCTTTTAACAGGAGATAAGGCTTTTTAAAAGGTAATTAAGTTAAAATGAGGCAGTCAGTGTAGTTCCTAATCCACTCTGTCTGGTATTGTTATAAAACGAGGAAACTGGACATACAAAGAAACAGCAGACCTTGTATACACACAGGGGGACGATCATGTGAAAAGGCAGCAAGAGGGCAGCTATCTGCAAGCCAGGGAGAGAGGCCTCAGAAAAAAACCAATCTGGCTGGTATTTTGATCATGGACTTCCAGCCTCCCACAATCGTGAGAAAATAAATGTATGTTGCTTTAGCCACCCAGTCTGTGATATTTAGTTAGGGCAGCCCTCAAAAATCAGTATATACTGATTCGGTCTACAGGCAATAAAAGTAAATGCAGAACATTTTAATAAACAACCCATAGCTCTTGTCTTTTTTCATATTCAGTAAACCAGCAAACCATACTATATGCATCAATTTCACATTTCGTGATGAAAAATTCCTAAATATAAGACCAAATGCTGTTGAATAAACTTAACATAAATTATTACATTCTGAACACAAGCCAAAGAACAGACCACTCAGAAAGTAATTTCAAAAAGTTGGTTTCCTCCTTAAAAAGCCTAGAGTTTCAAATTGTCATTAGCTGAGAACTAAACAGTTCAAGTTGGTAACAAATTTTAAATATTCATTAAAATAGAAATATAATTACAATTAATTAAAGGTCAGAGGGCTTCTGACATTCAAAAATAAGACTTACCTTTGTTTTGGGTTCTAGAATTTTCACTCCATAAATTGATATTTGCAACTCAACTTTAGGAATTTTCTGGCCTTCAGATTTTTTGATATGTCTTGCAAACTACAAATGAAAAATTATTCACAAAACTATAATACTGTTTCTATGGAGAATGAACACAAACAAATAAATATTTGGAGTTTGTATTCAATGTCAAACTTTCATTAGGTCAATTATTGACCATTATAAAGTATGTTATAAAAATAGTCTCAAAATATCTAAAAATCATACCAATAAATCATTATAATTCAGATTGATTATCAGCAACTTTGTAAAAACACAATTTTTAATGCACTTCTTTCATAATACTTAAAAATCATATTCATACAATTGTGACAGTTGAGAAAACTGAAAACACTTTACAGTAACATAAGCAGAGATTGATTTATTTTTCTTTGGATATGTCGTTTTTAATACCTTTAGAGAACTTGCAGTTTACCAGCTAATGGATATGCTACCTTTTCCATTTCTAAATATCTGTCTAGTTTGGAACACTAACCTATCCAACCAAATCAATAAATAAAAAGAGGAAGATTACCATATGCAAACCAAAGCTAAGAATTGAAGTAATTATCCCAGCTAACAGAGTTCTATCCCAGTGTAGAACTCAACTCAGTCTAGAATTATAAATGTAGCGAGTTGTACCTTCTTAGAGAATAATAAGTGTACATAAATGCTTATTAGGTTATGTTATAAAACCAAAAAGAAAATCAGAATATTCATGCAGTTAGTAGAGGCTCTGCCTTCTCTCTCTGCATTGGTAGATTTAATGGGAGGAAAACTACAAGAGCCAAATTAAACTTGAATATTAAACAATATTTTTTTTAACTTTTAGAATACATACACACATTTATTATACACAAACACAACACATATATGCTATTTAGTATAAGTTTTTCCAATGCAATATTTGGAACATACTTACACTAAAAGGTTATTCATTATTTGTCTCAAATTCAAAGTTTACTGGATGTCCTCATTTTATCTGGCAATTCTGCTCTCTCCAGACTTCCTTCTCTCCTTTTTCCCTATCTTTCTTTTTAAGAAATAAAAACTATTGGAAAAAGAATTTCTTCTCCTTCTAGAGCTTCAAAAAGTTATTTCTTAGCATAACAATTTTTCCAGTATGTGAACCATGCTAACTTGAGTCAAAATAGATGACATGTAAGGCAAGAGAGAGTTCCAGTCTTCTTGCACGTCATATTTATTTGCATTGTGTATTTCACTATAATTTATGGCAGATGTAAATACACGTGGTATAGCTCAGTCCTGGTGCAGAGTGGTTAAGAGTCTTTTTGTCTTTTCATGGCTTTGCACTGCCATGGAGAGTGACATAATTAATGCATATACCAATGCCTTGAAGTGTCTGCCTTTGTATCCCAGGGGGTACCATTTGTTTTATTCATTTTGGGTGGTGTAATTTTTCAGCTTGCTGTATGTCCTGCTCTATGAATACAGGCTGCTATTTCTTTTCTTCTTCTTTTTTTTTTCTTTGTATCCAGCTGTCTTAAATTTTGCACATGATTCAACTAACTTGTGCCAGAAAATTTTCTTTTTTGTCTTTAAGAAACTTATTTTTCTTGACTGTAGATCTTTAAAAATTGACCCAGCTCTCTCCCAAAGAAAGTGGATTAACTTTGCCCCCCTCCCCTCATAATCTCCTTATTGTATTAGCATAATTAAACAACTTGGAGTTTTCCACATAAGAAGGCTTACAAAACAAACCAGCTGTTCTCCATCTATGTGAATGCATCTGAACAAAGCGACCCCTGTTGTTTGCTGCAGAACATTGTAAGCTAGCTTCCCAGGTGTTTTCCAGAAATAGACAATGAGCAGGGTCTTCGGAGGCCCCTTCCACATCTGGGCACAACCATTCCTGTGACCTCTGACTAAACCATGCAACCTTTACTTCCTAGAACTCTACCACAGAACAATCACTCACTATTATTAAACTTATCTTTGCAGAAGAGAAGAATGGAAGAAATGAAGAAGAGAAAGAAGAAGAGAAGGCTGAGGGAGAAAAAACAAAAAGGAGAAATAGGAAGGAAGAAAGGAGGAGGAAGGGAGAAAGGAAGGGAAGGAAAAGGCGAGAAAGAAAAAAATTAAACACAAAATATCTGATCTAAGGTTTCTGATACCTTTCTTTCTGCTTTTTATCAGAAGGAAGTGATTGTGCTCAAAAATGCTTCAGAGATCATCCAATCCAACCTTATTTACAAGATGAGAAAAATAAATCCCAGAGAAGTTAAAAACCTTGGGCATAAAATGAGTTTGTAGGAAGTAGGTAGTAGTTTTGCAGATATTCAAATAAATTATACTTTTACACAACATATTTTCTGCATTTAAAAAATAAAATTCCCACTTCTATTTCCATGGATATCAAGATTTACACTAGTTATGGGCTTTGATTATTGAACATATGTTGCAAGACTATCATGCCTGAAGTTATATATTCATTTAATATATATTTTAAACAAAGTTTAATATTCTCCTTCCTGCCTATTTTTTTCTCAATAACTTAAGCTTATTGTAGTCTACAGTTTGTTAATTATAGTCATTTTTTTGTACCATCAAATACTATTCATTTTATCATTCCGAGCTACTATTACTCTTTGTGGTTTTCATATTGAATTTGTGATTTAAAGTATTCTGAATAATCCCATGGGGAAATCAGCTATGTTTGTATATAATTAAATTAAGCTGTAAACATTATATTAATTAAATAACTGGTTGTGAAGACAAAATAGAGAGTCATGCTACACAGAGAGAGTGAGTTTGAATAGAGAAACTGTTGGGCTGAGACTTAACAGGACTTAACAGTAATTCCCAAAGCCCACATTTCCTTCAAATAACTTTATGTAATTTTAATTTAGCTGCATTGGGGTGGAGTTTCTCCTTTAAAATTAGAGTCTAAGAATGCTTCTCTCTGGTTATCTCTCAGAGAAATTGGTAAGTTTTGAATCTATATGCCAATATTTACATGCAAATATCACAAATTGTTTATGAAATACACTGAGCCTTTTGAAATTTGCACTAATTGTATTAATAAAAATAAAATTCATTATAATAACAATGCTATTAAATACATAGAAATTGAAAGGGTTTTTAAATTATAACATTTTGGAAATTAGGTATTTTCTTAAATGTCTGGAGAAAACATGATTAAGAAATAGAAATTATTGAAAATGATTAGGAAATAGAAAACATGTTTTGATAAATACAGAATTGGAAAGTAAAAACTTTAATCCTTACAAAAATATTATATTGAATAAAAATCTTTAAGCTATAAATTATCCATAAAATGACAGAAAAATATTATGAAAAAAATAAAGTTTAAAAATTTTTCTTGAAAACTAAGCAGGCATCATTAAATATAGAAGCATGAAAAGGAAATCATTGAAAATCCTTCCATTTGTCTGAGCTTTCATTATTATCCCTAAATTTTAAATTCTTTATTAATGTCAAAAGCCAATTCATTACTATTGCAAACTTTTGAAAAGGGGGTAAGTATACATAAAATGTTAACTTATGTGGAAAATAAAGTCAAATATTAAACTATAATATATTTTTTCAAAAGCAGGCAGAATATATACGTTTAAGAAAAATAAGCAATAAATTAAAATGGAGATGTGTACATAGGAATAAAAAGCACATTTCTTTTTTTTTAGTAGAGTCATAGCACCACCTACTGGCTATTTCTACATGATACCGAAATTCAAAGGAGGTCAGGGTCTACGTTTTAAAAATAAATGTAAATATTCTTGATATACTTCTAATTGTAGCCTCTGATTCTTGATACCAAACAACAACAACAAAAAAATTAAAATAGATAAACGCATTGTTTATTCATTCTCATTAGTGCATGAGTCATTACCCTTAGATATACTTTCCTGATAGACAAAATTGTTTTGCAATCAATAGAGAAAAGATTGCTTATTAATACTACTTATTCTGGAAGATACATGACAGAAAAAGCTAGTATGAACTAACTATGTATTTTTAAACTATGCTATATAATTTTTATCTTATTGTAAATCATATTACTTTATTAACAAAGTGCATATCTAAACATGAAACTACATAGGGACTCCCTATAAAATTCCACAAAAATATATGTAATTGAGCCATTATTTGGAAAACATTTGATTTCAAATATCTCTTGACATATGACCTAGTCATTATGTAATTGAATCTTTTTGATTTGGGATTTGGGTCAACTGAATAAAGAACTTCTTAGGTATAAAGAAATACTAAGGGTAAATGTCACTGCTCTTTTATAAAACATTCTGATTGTAGTGAAATTGGACTTATGCCCAGAATTTGCAACATTTTAAAAACAGAATCCTATTCTAAATATTGTTCATAAACTTTTAAGCCTTTTAAATCCTCTTTTAGTGTTTAAAAACATTGGCCAAACTAGGGCAAGTCCAGATTATTACCTAATGATAGTAGAAATAAATAGTTGGCTAATACACTTTCTTGCCAAATGAAAGTGATATTATCTTGGGACCTTTTAGCATATTTACCTTAAGAAGATTAGCTAAAATATTTACATATAAAATGAATGGATAAAAATATTATCCACTTGTATTTCCTTACCCAAAATACAAGCCATCCCACTTCAATTTTTCCTCAGTTTAAATCCAAGTAAATTCCACCTGCTATGACATTCTCAAAACAAAGTACTGTAGTACTTTTTAATGTCTACAATCTTGCCCGGCACAACCAGAGGCTTAACCCTACTCTGGAATAGCTCAATAGTCTCTACCAAATAAAATATTACAGAATATTTGTTCCTCCAAAAATGTGAGAGCAACTATGGAGAATAACAATTAATTATATAAACAGAGTAGTTTTTTTTTTTTTTTAATAAAGATGAGAATTCTGTTCAAGTTTTTCAAATTAAGTGAGAACAATGTACTTTGAGATGTGGAACTATGAGAAAAACATTCTGTATGGCATCTTATGTAAGATTTTCTCAGTAAATTAGTTGATTAAAAAAATGTAAGTTTGCTTATTAAATGTCCTTTTTTCTCTTAGGCATCAGTGTCCCCATGGCTGCTCATGGACATGGCCAGAGCCTCTCACTAGGACACCTTTAATATACAGAATCACTGCAAATTTCTGCTTTGGAATCAACTCTAATTCTACATTTTCAACTGGTGGATAAATATCCTAACTATTAGAGATACTTGTTATGCCATTACCCATTTTTGAGTTGGGGCATGAGTTCACATTGCCCAAGCAAAATAAAAGCAACCTACAGAACATCAACACTTATGGATCGCTGCCATGAAATTGTTTTATTGAGTATAAAACATTATGCCTTAGAAAAATATGAATAGTATGCTATATATGGAAAAATAATTAGTTGTGTGTACATATTTATTATTAAAAATGTTTCTTTGATACGATGGTATTTATTCAATAGTTCATTTTTAACAGGGTAAAACTATACCTACCTCAAAGCTATTATTCATGCTTCAACTTCCATCAATTTGACAGCATCAATACACTAGACATTTATTGGAAGGGTTGTCCCTACCTTTAATTTCCTTACAGCATCTCTCACAACTTCTGTTCCTTTCGGCTGCTCCACTTCTGTACTGCCAAGAAACTGAAAATGGTCATTTGTGAGACACAGGCTTTACTACATCATATAGCATTAAATCATTTTGAACTATAAAACTGCATAATAGAATGGTTTGATAGTAATGCAAAGCCAAATCCTCATTGAGCAGAAGAATTATTAATTTATATTATTTTTATATGATATAAAAATATAAATATAACACTTGGTCATTTACAATTCCTATTAATCAGAGTTTTTTTTAAAAAAAAAAAAACATTTGTTCTAAATATTTTACTTGCAGATTTTCACTAGAAAGAAAACTAAAGTTATTTTATTGGGCCCAAAGGAATAAAGTAAGTTGATCTCAATCATTAAAATTTAGTGAACTTATGAATAAATAACAAAATTTGTACATTCAAAAGATATAAATGCTTTTTGTTACTATGTTTAAGTTTCATTAGTATATTTTGTAGTTTATGATTTGAAATAAACATTTTATTTGTTTTCTAATTATGAGACACATCTAACATGTAGAATTTATAAGACAAACTTTTTAAAATACACAATATATACCATTTGGTAAAGTTATATCTAGACTAGATTAAGAAATAAAATATATATGATCTACAATTTTACTAAGTTTTAAATAACCCTGAAGGTAGTCATTGAGGATGTTTAGTGGAAACTTGACCAATCCAAAAATGGAAAAAGTTTTGTAATAATTACTATATTGTAATAAAATCTCTACTCTGGATAGACATAATACTTCCTAAATAGAAGTTCAATAGAATGAAGTATTCAAGGCCAATTAGAATTGAAATATGAAGGTTTCATTCTAGAAAACATTTCTATATATTTTATAGCAAATAAACATTAAATGCATGAAGTATATAAAATTTCCCAAAGACTTTTTTGCTCTTGTTATGTACTGCCAATTATAACACCACAGAGTCATGAATTCAGCACTTCTCATATATATAGACTAGACATGTGTGAGTATGTGTATACACACTTTTTATCAAATAATTAAGTGGAATCTTTTCCATGTGTTAACTTACAGAATGAAAGGGAACAAAAATATAAAGCAATTTCTTATTCCTTCCTTCATTCTTGAAAGATTAGCAGCTAAAGCAATTACAGTCCCATTTTTTGAAATTGGTTTTCTGCACAACTGGCATGGGAACTACCCGGAGAGCAGATTAAAATGTAAAAATGCAGATTTCTTGGTCAAATAAATCAGAATTTTTAGAGGTAGAGCCAGGGAACTATATTTCTAAAAGCATTGCAGGTGATTCCTTGTACTAATGTCTAAAGAACAGAGCTAGAAAAAAATAGTTAATAGGTTATGAGGATAGTGGAAGGTAGCTACAAAAGGTGAGGTGAAAATACAGGAGATAACTGCTCTTCCCTTTCTTACCAGCTCATGGAGGAGAGAGAGTAAAGCTCAGTTGCACTGAGGCAAAGAGAAGCTACCCCTCAAGTTCTGTGAGGTACATTGGTTTCTTTTTTTAATATGCTCAAACTATATCAAACAGCTTCTGGGGCCTAGATAGGATATCATCAGTCTTTCAGACTGCCCCACTGGGACCTCAAGCTGTTGGTTAGTAAGGTGCACACAGAAAACCAAAGTAAATGAAAAATTCTCTGCTTAAAAGGAATTGAAAACTTGCTACCAAGACGTGAGAGACAGTCAAATCTATTCCTGACACCAATGGACCTGTCACATATCCTCTGTTTTAGATGAGTATTTCCAACCTCAGCTACATGACAGTCACAGGCGAAGCATTAACCTTATTACCAATGCCTATGAGTCTGATTTAATTGGTCTGGGGCAGAGCCCAAACATCTGTATATTTCAAAGCTCCCAAAGTGATTTTAATGTGCCACCAGGTGTGAAAAGCACTGTTTTAGATCATCCAGAAAGGATAAAGGGTTCAAATAACAGAGGGGGATTTAACACAGTAGGAACTATTTAGTTCTGAATAAATCCATGGGGCAAGCTGTTCTCAGCTTCTCTGAATTTATCATATCACTGAGACATTCACCATTGGTGGGTGGTCTAGTATTAGCAGGAGCAAGAAGACAAAGGCAGATTCTTTATGGTTAAGTGATTCTTGAACTAGCATGAGGAAGGGTCTGATGTGTCAATAACAGACTGTAAGTGTTACTGGCAATATTTTTGGAAGAATATTCATACTTTGGCAAAAAATGTTATGAGTCATAAGTATTATATGCAAACAGGCCCATAGGGGAAAATTATGGAAGAACTCCAAGTATATTCTAAATGAATCAACTCCTAGCAGTGCTCCAGGAACCTTTTAACATGTTTCTTTCACACTAGCTTTAATTAAATCATCTGAGTAATGAAACACTGGGAGATGCCATGAATGATGGTGGAAATTAAGCTAAAAGACATCTTAATATAGAACTCACCACTTACCCAAACTTTTTCTTATGTAATGTTAGATGGCCTAATAAAATAAGTTTAAAAACAAAAAAATAGTTCATTCCTTATAATAGTCTGTATTTTCTTAAATTATAAAAGTCATCATGATACTTTGATTTAAAATTCATATTTATATGCTTTCTATATGCCTATATAAAATGTTTATAAAACTCTTAAATATAATGCAACTTAAATATGATTCTAAGATCTAGGCTTAAAATCTGGAGCTGTTAGAAAGTCACCTAATCTGTCTTGTCTGATTCTTTTGAAAGATAGGGATAATAATATTGCCTTTTTTCTCCTTATAAAATCATTCTAAAGAACAAATGCATTTTAAAAAATGAAGGAAAAAACCTATTTTATCTGTAAAGTGTTTATAAGGGATTGCATTCCTTTATTTAATGATTGTTTGGGGAAGATACTAGGCCTTAGTGGATACAGTTGGTACCTGCTCAGTTTTCCTGGGATCCATTTTATCACCTCAGGGCCCCATACTCCACACTCCTCACATGCTTTGCTGGTAATGACTCACACTCAAGACCTTCAAGAACATATTTTTGGGGCAATGAAGTCACCTCACCAGTATCCAGAGCTGGAAACAGATGTGAATATTTTGACACTTATGTGCTTTTCTCCTGCCACCCCCCTATCACCACATTCCTTAGTCAATGACTGGCTTGGTGTGGAGGTACGAACTGCCTAGAGCTCCTTGCTTGGAGGTGGGGTGAACGCTATGGTATAATGTTATGCAAAGCTTCTGTCAGAATAAGGCCTGGGTCTTCATGTGATGTGTATACTTCCTTCTTTCCCTCATCTGCTTTGATTTTCCTACTCCTTTATGGGTTCTCTTGGGAGCACTCCTTTAATAAATCACGTGCACTCAAATCCTTGCCTCAGTCTCTAATTCTGGGAAAAACTGACCTAAGACACTGGTTAAATGCTTACATTCCAGGAACATACAGTATAGTATGCAAACCCATCACTAACTGAAGTAGTCTGTCGTAAGTGCTATGCAAAGGCTTGTACAAAGTATACAGTTTAGAGGTAAGACCTTTTCATCTTTTCCACTTTGCCTGATGCCTGAAGGGTAAAAGAAAAGTTTGAACGGAATTATGTCACAGGCAGGGAATTAATCCACCCTATTCCAACAGAAGAGTGGTTAACTAGCTGAAGAACTAGGCCAGGGGAGCCCTGGACTGCAAAATGCTAGGCACAGATGAAGAGGAAGCAAGGCACATACACGGAACAAAGACACTTAGCCGAAGTCCACATGCTGAATGGAAAGTCACAGCGTGGCTCCCAGGATACCGGCTGCTAGTCTTACAAGCCTCCAAGCTGGAGAATTCTTCCCTGGGGAAAGTGGACCAAGAAAAAACAAGACAACCTATGCTGACAGTTGGGGTTTCCTCATGAAATAGATGGGTCCCCTGTTGGTCCCTAGTTGACAAACCCTGCTCAAGTACATAGGACTGCCAGTTGGCTTCTGAGTGCGTCAGTCTTAAATATCAAAACACAGCAAGCACGTGCATATATTTAACCTCTCACATGAAAAACCGGAAGACAAACAAACAGGAACAAAAACAATGGGAAAGAGGCAGAGAGAAAGCAAGGAGAAAAAAAGATAGCTAAACCCCTAAATCAATATAAATATATTGCATTCAAGACGAAAACAGGCTATCAGAAAAAGCAGCATTTAGAGAACAAAAAAGACTTCATATAAATTAAAAATATGACCCAGGGAATATGGCTGACCAGAGATATCAGCTGCCCAAGCATCTCAGTAAGAAGGAAAGGTTTTAGATGAAAGAGCAAAGAGCAAACAAATAGATAAACATAGATCAGGTGTAATTCTGAGGAAAGAGTGACAGAACCTGTGGGGAACTCCACAGGAAGAAGTTGCACAACAGAACAAGGAGGAACAAGACATTGTTGGAAATCAACCCCCAAGGCTTGGAGGCCAGAGAAAAGGGTAGGTGGGTCGGTTTGTTTTTCCCATCCTCACCTCTCTGACAGTCAGCGGGCTTCCAGGCTGCTGGAGTGAATTTCTACCCCCAAAAGCTGCTGCCTTCGGAGATTCTTGTGGACAAAACACCAGGCTCCCAGCCCCATGGGGCACTTCCTGTCACCACAGATCCCAGCCGAGAGGGCAGGCACCATATTGCTTCTCTATCCACCCCATGCCTTTCTCCTCCCGAGGGGGCTTCAGCCTCTCAGTTTTAGCTCTCTTGTTCCCACACAAACATTTGCCAATTCTGGCCCAGACTGTGGGAGCCACAGGGGTCCTGTCGGTCCCTAGGGATCTGTGTGACTCCAGAACCTGGACATTCAAGGCAGGATGCCTTGTGGAGAGGAGGACAGAGATGACCGGAGGGCTAGCTTTCCAGATTCTTTTCCTCCCCAACCCATGTCTGCTGAGAGAGAGACAACTGAGCCACCACACTGAGGATTCTACAAAGAGTGTAGCTCAAACCTTTCCTTTTAAAGTCCTTCAGTGGACTAACGAATGCTTCAACTGTGAGCTCCCTGCTCACCAGACTTCCCTGGTGCTGCTTGCCCAGTGGCTCCATCAGAGCAGGGCACACGCTGAGGTGGAGGGACA